CGCTATCGAAGCATCCTGGGCCTCCATAACACCTCAGCAGTGCCACAGGCTGATTGCCTCCATGCCACGCCGCATTGAAGCAGTCATTCATGCAAAAGGATTCCCGACCAAGTATTGAGTGCATAACTGAACATGATTATTTGAAGGTTGGCGTTTTTTGTATTAAGAACACTTGTCTTTCATTGGTGGGATGAAATATGCTAATTTTTTGGGACAGGCATTTTGGGTTTTCATGAGCTGTATGCCATAATCATCAGTATTAAAACAATTAAAGACCTGAAATATTTCAGTTGGTGTGCAATGAATCTGAAATATATGAAAGTTTCATTTTTATCATTACATTATGGAAAATAATGACCTTTATCACAATATGCTAATTTTTTGAGAAGGACCTGGAAGTCATGGGTTTTTTGCATAATTTACATGCCCTGCGACTGGCACACCGAAATTACTTGTTTTTTTTCCCACATATTTAAATAACAATTTTTGGCTGAGATATGACTGTTTTCATTCATTCTAACTGAAAATATTGAACACTACCATTAAAGCTGCTAGATGGCACTGGAGCAGTATGGCATGCCCTTGTGTCATGTAATAGGTGAATGTGGCTAATAATGACACAATCAGCTTGCCATAGCCTACCACCTTCGTTCAGCTTGCCTGGAGCAACCATCAACTCAACTTCATTTCACTGCACCGCCCTGGCGAAATGCAGCTAATTTGACCTTTAAAGTGCATTTATTAAGTAAAAGTTAGACTGAGACACATCTTTGCTATAATTCCGAGCAAAGAAACAATTCTTTTTAAGTGTTAATCTTTTTAAATTCTTGTTAAAGTCCTCCCGTGCACACTCTCGCGACTGTCATTTGGCAGACAATCGATTTTTGGCACACCGGCCCACATTTCCGGGTTGTCAGTGATGTGTCAACGGTGACTCATAATAGTAGCGACTTATACGGTGAATCAACATATTTATGGATTTTTTCACTTTATTAGACATATTTGGACTGATGCGACGTGTACAGCGGAAAATACCGTAGATGGGGCGGCTGTGGCTGAGTGGTTAGAGCAGTCGTCCTCCAATGCAAGAGTTGTGGGGTTCAATTCCACCAGCAGTCACATGTTGAAGTGTCCTTGGGCAAGACCCTGAACCCCTCATAGCCTCTGATGTGTGTCCCATCAGTGTATGAATGTGATAAAGCTCTGATTCATCTTTGTATAGATATAGTAGTGCTGTATGAATGGGTAAATGAGGACACAAAATATGCTGTGAAGAGCTTTGAGTGTCTTGATCAGATAGAAAGGTGATATATAAGTACAGTCCATTTACCATTCGTTTACTTGTTCTGCTACACGAACAGAATTTTGCCTGTTGCAAAAGTTTTTAATGAACTCTTCCCCATTACACAGTATTTTTTACAGAAAATCTAAATTGTATACAATTGGCATGTTAAAGGTAACCTTATGCCTGTGTGCCTGACAATACATAATTACTTTAAATGTGTTTGATCATAGACCACAAAAAAAAAATTAATTGCATCTTAACAGTTAAATCTGTTTTCTGAGTGCCTGTTACACCAGTCAAGCTAAAAAGTATTTGATTTTGGTATGCCAAGTAGTCTTTACATCCCTAAATAAAATTAACTATTGCTACAGAAGCTTGTGTTTAAAGCACAAATTGCAGTTTCCTTAGATGTCAGCACCTTTATCTTGTTCCTGCAGGGGACTTCTTCGAGGCCTGGGAGGCGCTGTTGAACCACATTCAGTCAGCTGCGCTCAGTAAAAACAATGAAGTTTCTCTGGCTGCTCTCAAAAGCTTTCAAGAAATCCTGCAGATTGTCACACCTCTTAAAGACTCAGATAAAGCAGGGGATGCACTCACAGCCATGGGTGTCCCTCCAGTTCTCATTGACCCCCTCTCAGCCTCCGGACCCGGCAGACCCCTAGTACGCTCAGATTCACTGGTTGAGAGGTTGACAAGATACAATGGGGCCGAGCTGCAGGTGCCGCCACCAGGAGAGGAGTCGGCCCTGGACGACTTGACGTTGTGGTGGTCTGCGTGGAATACGTGGTACCGAACAGGAACAGAAAGCACAAGGCCACCTATTGCCCCGATGGAGAAGCTCTCCTTCATTCCGTGCCAGCCTTTCCTCACTGCTTTGATACAGATCTTCCCAGCACTTTACCAGCACATTAAAGCCAACTTCAGCATGGAGGATTTGAAAAAACTGGGGGTCATCCTCCATGGGGCCGTCTCTGTGCCTATCAGCAGTGAGGCCTCGCCCTTCATTCTCCCCTCCTACACTGAAGCCACGCTCACTAGTCTGCAGGAAGCTGTGCTCGTTGCTCTGGATGTTTTACAGAAGGTGAGAACAAGAAATGGACCAGAGAGGCTTTTAGCTTATCATGTGCAAAACATGTTACATCACCAACTACAGTGTCATGGTTACCTACAGATCAAGTCTGGCAGGGTGACTTAGGGTTGCTTGTAAATTAAAAATATAAATATTTAGGGATGCACAATATTGGATTTTTGGCCGGTATGCGATACCGATATTTTTTTAATATACTTTCCTTTGTCAGAACATAGCCCTCTTATTTAGGCTTGTTTGCTACAACAATTGTGTAACATCTGTAAGAGCTGGTGACATATATTCATTAACAGCCATATGATATGCATAGCACTTTAACTTAAATTAAATGAAAAGTGTCAAATGTTATTTATTAGCATTAGTCAACTGTGATGCTGTCTCACTTGTGGAGGCTTGTTCCAGGTTCCTAGCTGCAGTGTGGAATCCTCTGCACTCTTGTGCATGAAGGATAGCCTTTTTAAGTTCAAAGTTTTTGTTTATCCATTGTGCCGTAAGACTAATCATGCTAACGGGGCTAACACGACATCCAAATGTCTGTGGTAAAACTCACCCAAGTGCTATTGGCTATTAGCTTCTCAATGATGTCGGAAATGACGGCTTGTAACTCGGGTAACGTTATGTTGGAAAAATATCTCCGACTGCAGACGATGTAGCGAGGCTCAACGTAGTCCATAAATCTTCGGAATCCGATATCCTCAACGAAAAAACTTCCACACCGTCGACATTTTTAATTTTCCTCTTCACTGTGATCAGATCAGAGCGTGACGTCATCACGCTGTGCTGACACTGCAGGCGTCCTTGGCACTGGGTTGTCATACAAAAACAGCGCCTTTTATATCGGTGATTATTTTGATGGAATGTCCGATATTTAACTTTAATGCTAATATCGATACATATTATATATAATACAGATAATACAGATACTGATACCATGACAATAATATTGTGCATTCCTATAAATAATAGAGCCATGCATATCTTTAAATTGTTCCAGTGACATATTAGAAATAGTGGATCTGAACAGCAGTTGTTTATAAATAAGTTATTTCAGGAAAGAGTCTGTCCATTATGCAACACCCCTTCATGTGGATGTCAGCAGTGTTTGTTCTTTCCCCCCTGCTGCAGGCCATCTGTGTGGGCCCAGAGAACCTGCAGGTCATGTACCCAGCCATCTTTGAACAGCTGCTACTCTTTGTAGAGTTTTCCTGCAAGCCTCCTCAGTACGGCAGGATGGAAACCAAACACGTGGCCAATGCCAAATACAACCAGGTAGGAAGTAGGACAGACTCTGCAGTTAATGTGGGAATACATCATCTTTATTCTGTTCTGTTGTGCTGTTCGTTTGCTCTATTTTGATCTTAATGAGGTAGCCAAGTCTCCCATCTTCATTTTGAAATTTTCAGTTAGCCTCTTGGGAGCAAACCCAACCACTAAGGAGCACAAGCCAGGGTATCTGGTTTGCTGGTCCCAAGCCTAGGTAAATGGGGAGGGCATTGTGAGGAAGGGCATCCAGCTTAAAATACTTTTGCCAAAACAAGTACAGTGGTCCCTCGTTACTTTGCAGTTTGACCTTTGCGGTATCGCTCTTGTGCAATTTTTCAAAGAAAGATTGTACGTGACACGTTTGACTGGTTGATGGAGTGAGCCGTACGAGCAGGATGGATTGTTTATTTAAAATAAATTATTCAATGTGATTTAGCACCTGCTGCACCTGTGGGCTGCGCTTTGTGTGTGTGTGTGTGCTTCCTAAGTGCTCCCCAGTCTCAAAGATTGTCTGATCTCCTCGTAATTCAGAGTCTTTCTTTCGCTCTTTTGCTGTGTAATGAATTATGAGGCGGACCCAGAAATTCAACCACACACAGGAGTGAACAAAAATATTTATTTAGTTTTATCATGAGGAGAAAGTCAGCTGTCACTCTGTAGAGCTTGATCACAGGTGAAACGGTTTAGCTGCAACGTCAGAGGGAACCGAGGTTTGGACGGATCACATGATTTGTGAGTGAAAATCCGACAAACATTCTCAGAATGTGGATCTTGGTTCTGAGAGCTCAACTCCTAGAGTCCAGGGTCTAAGTTTGTGGTAAAAAATAGAGGCGTGGGTCATTCACATAGAGGCAGACAAAGCAAAAGTTATCTGAGGGATTTAGCTGGAATCTTGGTTTGAAGGCAGAGCAGATGTCAAACTCCCCATGTCTGATGGGCAGAAGAATCATCTTTGGCAAGGCAAAGGGGAGGAATCTGTGGTTATGAAGTGAGTCAGGAACGAGAGCAGAAACAAGAACACTGGATTACTTCAGGCATAAGGTGATCAGACAATCTAGCAGAGACTAACCTCAACCCTGCAATTGTGGGCTGCGCTTAGGTGCAGCAGGTGCTAAATCATTTAAAATAATTTATTTTAAATAAACAATCCATGCTGCTCGTGCGGCTCATCCTTCAATCAGCCAATCATGTGTCATGTACAATCTTACTTTGCAAAACCGCAAAAGGGCGAGGACGCGAAGGTCGAACTGCGAAGTAGTGAGGGACCACTGTATTTACTACAGAGACTTGAATATGATATTGGAATTACATGAACAACTCTAAATTGGTTTAAATCATATCTATCTGATAGATTCCAGTTTGTAAATGTAAATAATAAATCTTCCTCATACACCAAAGTTAGTCATGGAGTTCCTCAAGGCTCAGTGCTTGGACCAATACTCTTTACCTTATATGTGCTTCCATTAGATAAATTTATTAAAGAGCTTGGGATAAATTTTCATTGTTATGATGATGGTACACAGTTGTATTTGTCCATTAAACCCAATGAATCCAATCAGCTACTTAGTCTACAAGCATGTCTTAAAGACATAAAAACCTGGATGACCCAAAATTTTCTGCTTTTGAACACAGACAAAAAAAACTGAGGTTTGAGTTTTTGGACCTGAGCACCTTAGGAATTAATTTTTCAGTATTTCTGCCTCCTTAGATGGCATTAATCTGGCCTCTAGTTCTAATGTTAAAAATCTTGGTGTTATTTTTGATCAGGACATGTCTTTTATCCCCCACATTAAAAACGTTGCTAGAACCACCTTCTTCCACCTGCATAATATCACTAACATTAGAAACATCTTATCTAAAAATGATGCAGAAAAACTTGTCCATGCATCTGTCATGTCAGACTGGACTATTGCAATGGTTTATTATCTGGGTGTCCAAATACTTCTTTAAAACGTCTTCAGTTGATCCCAAATGCTGCTGCCAGAGTCTTAACTGGTGTTACTGGGAGAGATCATATTTCTCCAGTTTAAGCTTCTTTCCATTCTGTCAAGTCCAGAAATCAATTCAACATCCTATTTCTAATCTACAAAGCTCTCAACAACCTAGCTCCATCTTATATTACAGATCTTATTGTTCCATATTTTCCTAACAGAGCACTTTGCTCTCAGACAGCAGTCCCTAATTTCCAAAAGCAGAATGGGAGGAATAGCTTTCAGTTATCAGGCTCCTCTCTTGTGGAACCAACTTCCAGGTTCTGTCTGTGAGGCTGATACATTGTCCAGTTTTAAGACTGGGCGGCTTTCCTTTTTGATAAATCGTGCAGTTAGGGTTGGCTTGTTATGCCGCCATAGGTTTAGACTACTAGAGGCTAGGATTGGGCATCGTTTGAATTTGAGCAATTCCGATTCTTCATTTCGATTCCGGTTCCTATCGATTCCTGATTCTGATTCTTTTTAGAGGCGGGGTTAAAAAAGACAATTCAATTCAGTTTATTTATACTGTGCAATTCCAAGTCACAACAGAAGTCATCTCAGGGCACTGAACAGAAACAATCAAATATAAAAATAAGTTAACACTATTTATCTGAGGAGCAGACTGCTTTGAATTTGGTAACTCCATCATGTTATAAATGAGTTACAGTAGTTAGCCAGAGTTCTTTCTGGATTAAATAATATGAACTTCTGTTTTAATTTTAATTCTATGAACTTTTTACTTTTTGTTAACTTTACTATGAATTTCTCACAGGGCTATTTTCAATCTGTATATAAATATCAAACTTATGAACTTTAATATAAATGTTATGAATTTTCTTTTCACAGGGTACACTTTCACAAGAGAGCTTTATGTTTGAAAACCTCATGGAAACACATTTCCACATGTCCAGTGTGTGATGCTGCAGCCATGTTACTGAGCTCCCACTGATGGGCTAACCTGCTGCAGAATATCAAACAAAAAACAACAACTTGTACAATCCAGTCCAGATTAGAAGCAGGTACAGGATAAAATCAGAAACAGTTCTTGTTGAGGAAAATGATCATATCTGCTTCTCAGGCAGTATGTGCGAGCGTTCTGGACAGACAGTGTCTCCTGCAGTGGAGAACACGTTTGCTGGGTGTAGAAGAAGCTTGAACACATAAATATGAGAAAGCAAGATCTGACAGCAAAGGATAAGTCTTGTGTTGGTTCCACCACCAGCAGCAGGTTCCTCAGACAGAACATCTGGTGGAATGTCCTGGTACATCTGCAGCCCTCTCTCCACTTGTTTCTTCATGGACATGGAGCTGTGACTGTCTCTTCCTCAGCAAAAAGCTCATCCAGTGGAGACTTTCTGAACAGATTGCAGAGAGATGGTTCCTAAACAAACAACAGGTTCATCAGTATTATCACTAAAAAGGGATTGTTAAAGTCATGATCATTATTAAGATTGAGAATGTATATAATTTCAGCTATCTTACTCTTACACTCTCCTCCTCATCCTCCTCCTTTCTCTCAGGCCTTTCCTCAGACTGCATGGTGACCCCATCATCTCCACAGTCTTCCTCTGTTGACCACAAAGAACATTACTAGTATTTAGATTTCAGATTTTAAAGCAGAAAAGGACAGTTGTACATAAATGACATTTCACCTACTCAGTCAGCTTTCTCTGGATCTGCTCCCAGACACCGTCATCCATCTGGGTGGCTGTGGCTGAGTGGGTAGAGCAATCGTCGTCCAATGCAAGAGTTGGGGGTTCGAATCCACCAGCAGTCACATGCCGAAGTGTCCCTGGGCAAGACACTGAACCCCTCATTGCCTCTGTGTGTCCCATCAGTGTATGGATGTGATCTAAAGCACTGATTAGTCTCATTAGAATGATTTGTTCAATTAGCTTTGTAGAGATCTAGTAGAGTGCTGTATGAATGGGTAAATGAGGCACAGATTGTGGTGTAAAGCGCTTTGAATGGTAAATGGTAAATGGACTGTACTTGTATAGCACTTTTCTATCTTATTTCAAGATACTCAAAGCGCTTTACACTACAATCTTTGCCCTCATTTACCCATTCATACAACACTCTACTAGATCTACAAAGCTAATTGAACAAATCATTCTAAAGAGAATAATCAGTGCTTTATCACATTCATACACCAATCGGACACACATCAGAGGCTATGAGGGGTTCAGTGTCTTGCCCAGGGACACTTCGGCATGTGACTGCTGGAGGATTCGAACCCCCAACTCTCGCATTGGAGGACAACTGCTCTAACCACTCAGCCACAGCCGAGTATCTTGAAATAAGATAGAAAGGCGCTATGTAAGTACAGTCCATTTACAGTCCCATCTTCTTTTGAAAGCACAGATCAGCTGTAGTTACAGTGGACATCTCCACCTTATAACAAGATGGAATTATCGTATTTGACAAGTGGTCCATGGTAGGTGGTGTGTACTTGGGTTGATGGTTTTCACCATGTCCCTGCAAACATATAAACAAACATGTAATGTCACTGTTACTGTAACGTTAGCTTAGGATAGACAATTAATTAGCTTAGCTCTATTGTTATTGCCTAACTAACCTAAATGTTGGTGATTCCACATCTGATAAGTCAAGTCATATTTATTTATAGAGCACAATTTAAAACAGATAGACTGTTATCAAAGTGCTTAACACTAAGGGTAACACTGAGAAATAAAAAGCAGTAAGAATATACCTTAAAAAATTAAAACAACAGCATTAAAATGAAGACATGGAACAAGATATACTAAATCAACTCACACAGTATGAAACGCCAGAGAGAACAGATATGTTTTAGCAGGGATTTGAACACAGGAAGGGAGGTGGCATGCCTAATGTTGGGGGGTAGGTTGTTCCACAGTTTGGGACCCATGACTGAAAACGCCCGATCTCCTCGGAGCTTCAGTCGTGTTTTTGGAACAACCAAAAGCAGCTGATCGGATGATCTCAGAGCCCGAGAGGGAACATATGGTTCCAGTAGCTCAGAGAGGTAGATGGGTGCGAGGCCATTTAGGCACTTATAGGTCAGGAGGAGAATTTTGAAAT